CGTTCTTCCCCTTTTTGTCCTCTCCTGTTTGGGGAGTCGGCCGTGGCGCAGTTTATTCAGGCTGCGTCGGCGGCTTGTCGTCCGATGTCGGACTTGTTGGTTTTCCGGGGGTCCCGGGGTGGGTCTTCCCGGAAAGGTCGTGCCAGGGCTCGGGGTTCCTCTCGTCGTGGTAGGTCTCTGGTGTCAGGTTTGGGGTTGGCTCCTCCTGCGGACCCTCCCTCGTCTGGTCGGCGCGGTGTTCGCGCTGTGCGGGGTTCTGGGTCTCGTAAGGGTCGCCGGCCCTTTCCCGGTTTGCCCCTTTGACGGGGCGATGGGGGGGCGGCTTGCGCTGTTCGCCCGCACCTGGTCCCACGATTCGTGGGCCTTTCGGGTCGTGTCTCGCGGCCTGCGGTGGCGTTGGGTGGCCCCTCCCCCCTTTGGGGGGTCGGGGCTGGCGGGGCAGGCTTCTTCCCCTGCGCTCTGTCGAGTCGTCTTGGAGTGGGTACGCTTGGGCGTCGTCGAAACGACGTCGTCCCTCAGATGGGTTTCCCGTCTGTTTCCGGTTCCGAAACGGGACTGCGCGGACCTGCGGTTCATTCTGGACTTGTCCCGTCTGAACCCCTGGGTTCATTGCCCCTCCTTTCGGATGACTACGCTGTCTCAGGTTCGGCTCCTCTTGGAGCCGGGTGCTTGGATGGTGTCCCTGGACCTCCGGGACGCTTATTGGCATGTCCCGATTCATCCGCGGTTCAGGGACTGGCTCGGTTTTGTAGTGGGGCGTCTGAGTTACCGCTTTCGTTGTCTCCCGTTCGGGTTGAACCTGGCACCTCGCGTGTTCACACGCCTTACACGGGTTGTGGTGGCTCCTTTGCGTCTCCTAGGTGTTCGGGTGTTGGCCTACCTCGACGACTGGCTGGTTTGGGCTCCCAGCCAGTCAGCTTGCTTGCTAGCCAGGGATTTGGTTCTTTCCCAGCTCGCCGGGTTCGGGTTCTTGGTGAACTGGAGGAAGTCCCATCTGGTTCCCTCTCAGGTTCGGACTTGGCTGGGTCTCGTGTGGGACTCTCGGACCGCCTCCTTGTCTCTCCCTCCGGAGTCTCTCCTGCGGCTGCGGTCCCGCCTTCGTCTGTTTCTGGAGGGCCCTCGGGTCACCCGGCGGTTGCTCGAGGGGCTGTGCGGGAGCCTGAACTTCGCGATGGTGGTCTACCCGCCGGGTCGGGTTTGGCTTCGACGGCTGTTCTGGTTCCTTCGGGGTTCCCCCTTCCGCCTCTCTCGCGATCGCAGAGTTCGACCCCCGGGGGCCTTGCGTCGGTTGCTGCGTCACCGGCTTCCTCTTCGGGTTTTTCGGGGTTCAGTGCCTTGGCGCCTACCCGAGCCCTCGCTCGATGTGTACACGGATGCGTCGTCTCTCGGCTGGGGTTTTGTGACCAGTGCTCACCAGGCCGGCCAGGGGCGTTGGGATCCGTCCTTCCGTCGAGCTCACAGTACGGTGCGGGAGTTCGCGGCAGTGTGGTTTGCTCTGGGGAGGATTCGGGTGGCCCGCGGATCGACGATTCGGCTCCATTCGGACTGCTCTCCGGTGGTTCATTGCCTGAACCGCGGGGGTTCGATGCGGTCCTTGTCTCTTTGGGGTTGGTCGCTTCGGGTGACTCGTCTGCTGAGTTCTCGGGGTTTGGCTCTCCTGGCGGTTCATGTACGGGGCGTGTCCAACGTCTTGGCCGACGCCCTGTCTCGCTTCGTTCCCCTCTCCACGGAGTGGACGGTCGACGACGAGTCCTTCCGTTGGCTTTGCCAGACGTTCGGGCGCCCCGAGGTGGACCTCTTCGCGTCGGCGTGGTCGCGGCGTCTTCCCGTTTATGCGGCGCCCTTCCCCGATTGCGAGGCCGTCGGGGTCGATGCCTTTCGGCTCGACTGGTCGAGGTGGGGGTTCCTGTACCTCTTTCCCCCGGTTCGGCTGTTGCTCCAGGTCCTGACTCGCTTAGACTTACCGGGGGAGAGTTGTCCTTCTGGCCCCTTGGTGGCCGGCCCAGCCTTGGTTTCAGGCGCTGGTTGCTCGGTGTCCGAACCCGAGGGTTTTCCCGCGGCTCCGCCTCTTTTAGCAGATCGGGCCGGTACGTCACGTAGCTGGTTCGATCTTCTCCTCGAGTCTTCGCGTATGGTTTTTTTGACTCGAGTCTATCATCATCTCTATGGTGATCAGGTGGCCTCCTTGTTGGTGTCCCACCTGAGGGCTTCTTCTCGGCGGCAGTATGAAGTTTCCTGGCGGTCCTTCCGTTTCTTTTTGCGTCTTCGTCGTGTTAGCTCCTTGTCTGTTCGGGTGGTCTTGTCCTTCCTCTCGTGGTGGTTTCAGGACCGTCATCTTATGCCTAACACTGTCGCTTCGTATCGTGCGGCGCTGGCGGAGCCGCTTCAGCTTGCTTTCGGTATCGATGTTACGTCTGCGCCGTTTCGCAAGCTGTCTCGTGCATTGTTTCACCTCCGGCCTGCTCATGCGTCGCCTGAGCCGTCCTGGTCTTTGGACAGAGTGCTCGCTTTCCTTTCATCTCCTCGTTTCGTTGTGGCCCCTTCGGTCCAGGATTGTTTTTCCAAGGCACTTTTCTTGTTGGCTTTGGCCTCTGGGGGTCGGGTAGGGGAGCTTCATGCTCTCCTCCGGCGCAGGGGTTTCTGCTCTTTTGGTCGTGGTGATAGTTTTGTTCGTTTGCAGCCGTCTCCTTCTTTTCTGGCGAAGAATGAGACTGCTGCGTTCCGGAGGGGTCCATGGGTGGTTGATGCTTGGTTGGTCAGGCCGGGGGTGCATTATGTTTTGTGTCCGGTTGCGGCGCTTCGCCGTTATTTGCGCGCCACAGCTTCTGTGTCCGGGGACGCGCTGTGGGTTGATCCGGTTTCCCTTCTTCCCTGTTCGCGGGTTCGGGTCTCTCAGGTCGTCCGCAGGGTTATTAGGTCTAGCCAGCCTGCGGTCTATCCCCGTGCCCATGACGTTCGTAAGTTCGCGGCTCTTGCTGCCGTCTTTGGGAATATGTCTTGGTCTGATATTCGGGCGCGGGGATTTTGGCGGTCGAACAGGGTCCTGGCTGCTCGTTACCTTGTGAATGTCCCTGGCCCTCGTCGGGCCTGTGTTGCTTTGGGTCGGCGGTTGCAGCCAGTTGTCTCGGCTTCGAGTTGAGGGGTGAGCGACGACCGCCTCCCGGGTAAGTCCCTCTTTTTCTGTCTGTGGGTAGTTAGCTCCGGGGAGCCGACGGGGCTCCCCCCAGAAAACCAGCGTTGAATGTAATGAAACGCCATTTTCTGGGTGAGTCCCGGAGGCTCCCCGGCATCCCTCCCTCCCTCCGGTCGGCGGTTTTTCGCGTTTTTGACGTCCAGCCTCCAGAACTGAGGTGTGGGTAGCTGGCGCGGGGGGTCTGGGGCTCCCCCTTCCCCCTCCCGGGGAGGGGGGAGCTGCGCAGACAGCGGCGCGGCAGTGTGTGACGTCACACTAATTTGCTTGTTTTCGGTTGGGGAGTTCTATCCACTAGTTCGGTATTAGGTAGCAATTTTAACCAGAATAGGGGTTTGTTTTGGGGCGCTTACCTTTCTGGGTGCCTGTTCCGGTCGATGGCAGACATAGAATGCTTCCAACTACACGGGGGCTTCTATAGGCCATTGCTCCCCTTGCCTCTCTGAGGGGGCCCGGTTCTGGCCGTGGTCCCCGGTAGGCCTAAGAACTCCATACACATGACTGATGCCAAAGTCTGACATTAGCATATCAGCCTGGGATAGCTCCGGGGAGCCTCCGGGACTCGCCCAGAAAATGGCGTTTCATTACATTCAACGCTGGTTTTTTTTTTTTTTTTTTTTTTACACCACAGACGTGGCCACACATTCACAACGCTAACCAGAATATATACATTTTCGTCTGTCCTCCATGGACAGGGTTAGAGAAGTGTTAAACATACAGTTCAAGGGTTTATTGAACACTCAACCACAGAAGGTGATTCGGTGTTTTTAAAATGCTAAGCTAACCTACATACGTAAATACATAGCTACACAGATTTATGTATGTCCTACATAAAGTGTTAGATGTGTCTTTTACATAGTGTCATTAATGTACATTCACAAAGGTGAAATGTAATTCTGATCAGCTTCCATATATACTTTATACCCATACATATACATACACACACACATCATAAACATTAATTGATGAGGTTAAGTCATGGCTAGCTTAAAAATGTTTGGATAATGCAGGGGAGATTCTACATGCCTCTCACAGCACAGGCTTTCTGTGGCTCCTGGGTAGGCCCACCTAGAGGGCATAAGGTGGCATTCTCTGGCAGTGAGAGAATCTTAGTACAATGCCCCAATACTGTATTTTGTGTGGGGGCCAAACAAAGGACATCTCCCAGTACTTCCTTTGATTTATTGGGAAATTTTAGAAGCATCTGTGTCAGTATAAAAATTTAAATTCAGTTGGTGAAGAATTCAACTAACAATAAATTTTACAAGGGCACCTCTAACTAAAGGTTATGAAATTAAAAGAATACTGTATGTGTAAAGTTAAATTTTTGCTTTTGCACCGCCAATTCAATTTGACGATGTCTATCCTAAAGCCTTAGTAATATGTACAGTATATGCCAAACAATCACAAAAAAAATGCACTGAAACTTTAATAGTACAGTATTTTTGAGATATTGGTATTATCTTGAGTAAATTGCATATTTATATTTTTGTCTATCCTAAGAATAAATTTGCACATGAGATGTCATGGACAGTTGTCCAGCACATACCTTCAAATATTTTTGAACAGTAATTTTACCAAGATATATAATTTATTGTATTGACGTACTGTACCAAGACGATAATAGTTATTATGATGTACAATTTATAAATGTTTCGTCTACAACCTGGGTAAACACACAAAAATGTTTAGCTAGTGCAACTTTACCCAGTAAGTAGTAAAGTGGTTTATTTTGTAATTATCAATATAAGTGAGGATGAATAACAAATAACCTTTCCATCAATGTTATCAAAGGGAAGGAAAAACTTCATAATCCCTATTCAACTTTATAGAGAATGTTGACAAAGAAAATAATTATAATAAAGAAATGTGCCAAATAAAGGACTAATGAGAAAATCTAACAGTGCAATGGAATCAAACTCAGGGTTCTAGGTCACCCCAGATGCAATCGTGATTTCATTGTGCAGAGCTTCTCACTAGTGTTTTGGACTAGGTCTACAATATGCAATAAAAAAGTTCATTACAGTTATAATAAACACTTATTCATAATGCCTTTACATCATTTTTTTTAAATTAGATGTATTTTTGATACAGTAAATATATTGGCAAGTGGAAAATGTCCAATAACAATTTAAAGCTCTATATTAATTTAACCAGAATTTTCAGCTTTTATTTGTGTATATGAACTTAAACAAAACACTGATCTACAGTAAATTAATTCCAACAAAATTAAAGAACTAACTGAAGACAAAAGTATATTTACAAAAGTGAAGAAGTCAGTTATCAAGAGGTACAGTCCAAAAGTCTGGGACAAGATGCGATTTCAAGAGAGGGGTCCAAAAAGTAGGTTATGTATTAAGCCAAGACTCACCTATGCAGTGTGACTGCTCAGCACTGATAAACACCTCATCTTTACAGAAGAGGACAACTTGAGCACAAACATTCACTTGCCAATTCTTACACAGCTTTTCACATTATTTCATCATTACATGAAGATGACAAAGAATAAAACTTGAAAATATATTACTGTAGGGCAAAAAATATTTTCTAAAGCCTGAAATTATACACTGTATGTGGATACAAAACACATGACTGTTACAGTATGCCAAAAAATTGCTAATTTTAAAAGTGCTGTGATTTTTTTACCAGTATCATATCAAGCATTGACTGTTTCTCCTGAGACACCTGCTGCTGTAATTCACAAACTTCTTTTGCGGAAGAAAGCAGTCGTTGGTCGAGCTGCTGTCCACGGAGGGTGTTCGTCACACCACCTTCCCGAACAAATATGGGCTCTGGATCATCACGGTACCGATACAATGTGCTTTGTTGTGGACGCACCTGGAAGTTGTGGACAAACAAAACATGCTATACAATTAAAGTGTATCACACTGCAAATAAATAACAAATATAAATTTGTGATTAGATATAAAACCAATAAGTTTATAAATTAATTATCTACCAAACTGGTGTATTTTAAATCACAAAGAGAAATTCAATATAGCATGACATAAATAACTTGTTCTGGTGGATCATTCAAAATTAACTTCACTGAAAATGTACGTTTCTGTTTTGGCCCCCTCTAACGTGCCTTTCATGAGCTTATGATACTTGAATCACAGTGCCACTCCTCTGTTATCAGAAGACTTCCTCTGCCTACTAGATCTAGAATTTGGCTACCCAAAAGACTTCACCAAAGTCACATATATAACAAGCTATTGCTCTATTACAAAGGAATGAGATTAGGAAAACAAGGTAACAGGTGAATAAATTTTGTCCAAACAACCCTTCTTGAGGTTATCTTGAGATGATTTCGGGGCTTAAGATGTGGGCACCACACAACAGCTGCATATTCTAGCTTTGGCCTAACAAAAGTCATGAACAATTTCTTTAGTATATCGCCATCCATGTAATTAAATGCAATTCTGAAGTTAGAAAGCATAGCATAGGCTCCTTGCACAATATTCTTTATGTGGTCCTCAGGTGATAGTTTTCTATCTAGAACCACCCCTAGATCTCTTTCTTTATCAGAATTCTTTAAAGATTTCTCACATAACATATAGGTTGTGTGGGGTCTATGTTCTCCTATTCCACATTCCATAACATGACATTTATTAACATTAAATTCCATTTGCCAAGTGGTGCTCCATAAACATATTTTGTCCAGGTCATCTTGAAGGGCATGACAATCATCTAAGTTTCTTATCCTTCCTATTATCTTAGCATCATCAGCAAACATGTTCATATAATTCTGTATACCAACTGGTAAATCATTTATGTAAACAATAAATATCACTGGTGCAAGAACTGAACCCTATGGTACTCCACTTGTGACATTTCTCCAGTCCAATACATTGCCTCTGATCACTGCCCTCATTTTTCTATCAGTCAGAAAATTTTTCAACCATGTTAGAAGCTTTCCTGTCACCCCTCTAATATTTTCCAGTTTCCAGAACAACCTCATATGTGGAACTCTGTTGAAAGCCTTTTTTAGATCCAGATAGATGCAGTCAACCCAACCATCTCTTTTCTGTAATATCTCTGTGGCTCGATCATAGAAACCGAGTAAATTCGATACACAGGATCTTTCAGATCGAAAACCATACTGTCTGTCTGATATTATATCATTTCTCTCCAGGTGTTCTACCCATTTACTTTTGATTAGTTTTTCCAATACTTTCACTATTACACTTGTCAATGATACAGGTCTATAATTGTGTAATTACCTCTCTTTTCGGCATTCTGACCTAAATTTTTATGCTACGTCGTTCAGTTTGGTATCGAATTGCTCGCAATAGAATGCTATAAAGGGATATTTGCATACAAGGACATGTAAGTCAAACTTTTCTATACTTTCGACGAAAACTTAATAACTTTTCCCTTATACACATTTCTTTCAATGCTTTTGACATGGATTGGCTCTGTTCTTGATCAGTATCCATCTGGAAGTCAATTTGCAGTGTTTATAAAGCCTGTAACAACAAATACCAGAGATAAAATAACCAGAATGGGTAAACTTTTTGATTCAGGGGGAGGCCACAGCTGTCACAAGAACAGTGAGACTCCAGCGTGTGTGGGCTCCCACACGGCGGGTTCGGAGCCCACATGGCGGGGTCAGGATACCACGTGGGGTATACAGAGAATGGGCAGAAGTTGGCGCACATTTTAAAATAAGTTACATAGTATTCCGACAATAAATGGAATTTCTACCATTTCGTCATCGGGCATACTCCATATTTTGGTTTTATGCCGCAATGTGCGGCATCAGGCAGCAAAAGTGTTAACACTTTCGCACTCTTCGAATGCCCCTGGCATCCACAATTTTTCTTTTGAGTCCTAATCATGGATGCGAGTGGCATCCAACATTTTAAGACATTTGTTAAAAATTTTAATTTTATCCGATCAATCTGGGAGTGGTTTTAAAATGTGCGCCTTTAGATTGCGAACAATTTGATACCAAAATGAAAGATGTAAGACGAAAATTGATGTCAAAATACTTGAAAGATATAAATAATTTTGTGATGATGTGCGTCCAAAATTTAAAATAGTTGTTAAAATTCCATTTATTGCTCTATTATTATGAGACGAGTTTTAAAATACACACCTTTATATTGCGAACAATTTAATAAAAAAATGAAAGACCTAACACGAAAATGGATGTTATCAAACTGAACGAGTATACACATTAGGTTGCGGGTGTGCCCATTGGTGCTCATTCATGGGTAACTTTAGGCTTTGCTAAGGGAAGTCACGCCTGGCTGTTGGACAATACAGTATATGCATATACCCTTGCAGGGAATTTAATTGCAGACACAATGATACCAAAACGAACGACATAACACGAGAATAAACGTGAGAACGGAACTCCCTCCCCCTTCCATTATAACATCAGGCAGTGATGACATTTCTGGCATACTCTCGCTCTTATATTTTGCAGGCATACCACTAGGACCTGGTTGTGGCTCACTGCTCTCTTGTCTTACTAAGAATCTGTCTATAGACACTTGTTTTTCCCCTATGTTTTAACACTTGCCTGTAGTAGACATCACATTGTCACACTATGAATGATCTCTTATTTTTCCTCTATCGTCAATCTCACAACTATTTTATTAGGTTGAACATTACCACTGACTTTCGTGGAACCCATGGCGTGATATATTATAAGAACTTTTATGTTAATTAAAAAAAAAACAGCGTTGAGTATAATTAAATGCAATTTTCTATGTGAGTCCTGGAGGCTCCTCGGAGCTTTCCAGGCTGATATGGATATCCCTAACTTTGGCATCAGTCTATGTGGATGAAGTTCTAGGCCTACCAAGGACCACGAGCTAGAACCTGACCCTCTCAGAGGCACGAGGAGCAATGGCCTATAAAAATGAATATGTGATATTGGAGCATTCTATATCTGCCATCGACATGGACAGGCACCCAGAAAGGTAAGCTCCCCAAAACAAACCCATATTATGGTTAAAAACAAAGCAAATAGACAAATGAGTGGACAGAACTCCCCAATTGAAAATGAGCAAACAAGCATGACATCACACGAGCTGCGATGCATGTCTGCGCAGCTCCCCTCCTCCCAGAGAGGTGGAAGGGAAAGCCCCAGACCTCAGCGCCGGCAATCCACCCTGCAGTTCTGAGGCTGGCTATCAAAATACGCGAAAACCGCCGACCGGAGGGAGGGGGGATTGCCGGGGAGCCTCCAGGACTCACCCAGAAAATGGCGTTTTATTACATTTAACGCTGGTTTCTGGTGGAAAGCCTTTACGGCTATCTTATCTTGTGGTTATCTTGAGATGATTTCGGGGTTTAATGTCCCCGCGGCCCAGTCCTCAACCAGGCCTCCTTGTTACACACCCAAAGGAAGCAGCCCGTAGTAGCTGTTTAACTCCCAGGTAGCTATTTATTGTTAGGTGAACAGGTACATAAGGGTGAAAGAAACCCTGCCCATTTGTTTCTGCCTACACCGGGGAACGAACCCAGAACCTCAGGACTACGAATCCGAAGCTCTGTCCACTCAGCTGTCAGGCCCCCAGGCCGGCTTCCCGGATCTACTTCACTAAAGACTAAGAAGAAAGTAGGGGACTTACCCGGGAGGCGGTTGGTGCTCCACACCTGAACTCCAAGTTGAGACAGGCTGCATCCGCCGGCCCATAGCGACACAGGCCCGACTAAGCCCAGGGACGTTAATGAGGTAGCGTGCAGCCAGGACCCTGTTTGACCGTCAAAAACCCCGTGCCCAAATGTCAGCCAAGGACATGTTACCAAAAACAGCAGCAAGAGCAGCAAACTTGCGAACGTCATGAGCACGGGGATAGACCACAAGCTGGCTAGAGTTAATAACCCTGAGGATAACCTGAGAGACCCGTACCTGCGAACAGTGAAGAAGGGAAACCGGATAAACCCAAAGCGCATCCCAGGATCTGGGCACAGAAGCTGTGGCGAGCAAATAACGGCGGAGGGCCGCAACTGGACACAACACATGATGCACCCCCAACCTGACCAACCAAGCATCAACAACACAAGGACCCCTCTGGAAAGCAGCAGTCTCATTCTTCGCCAGAAAAGGAGACGACTGCAAACGAACAAACCTATCACCACAACCAAAAGAGCAGAAACCCCCTGCGCCGGAGAAGAGCATGAAGCTCCGCAACCCGACCCCCAAAGGCCAATGCCAACAGGAGAGAAAAAAAAAGAGCCTTAGAGAAACAATCCGAAACCGAAGAGGCCACAACAAACCGACAACACCACAAATCTCCTACAAGCCACACCACAACTCTCCTACAACTCTCCACAACTGCACTTGGGCTCAATTTTATTTGATTGGCTGTTACTCTTTGTGTTCTGTTCGGCAGGAAATTGAGTATCCAGCATCCTACTTTACCAGTTATTCCCACTGACCTCATTTTGTGTGCTATCACTCCATGATCACATTTGTCGAATGCCTTTGCAAAGTCTGTGTATACTACATCTGCATTTTGCTTTTCTTCGAGAGCTTCTGTGATTTTGTCATAGTGGTTGAGTAACTGACAGACAGGATCTTTCCGCTCTAAATCCATGTTGTCCTGGGATGTGTAGTTCATTATTTTCCAGAAAACTAGAAATTTGATTCCTAATCATTCTTTCAAAAACTTTTATTATGTGTGATGTTTGTGCAACTGGTCTATAATTTTTTGCCAAGGCTTTACTACTCCCCATGTGCAAAGGAGCCATATCTGCTGATTTAAGTGCAGCTGGTATCTCCGTATCAGCGTTAAATGTAATGAAACGCCATTTTCTGGGTGAGACCCAGAGGCTCCCTCCCACCCGTCGGCGGTTTTTCGCGTTGGTTGAAGCTTAGCTTCCAAACTGGTGCTAGGCAACTGGCGCGATGAGGTCCGGGGCCCCCCTCCCCCTCTCGGGGCGGGAAGGGCTGCGCGGACAAGCGCTGCAGTAAAGTGTAATGTTTGCTTATTTCCTTGGGATTGTAGGGAGTTTCTACCTCTCTGTTCATTTTTTGTTTTAGTTTCTTACCATGTTAGATTTGTTTTGTTATGCTTACCTTTCTGGGTGCCTAACCCCGGTCAATGGCAGATAAGGAAAACCCCAACCACAAGGGGGTTTTCCAGGGCCATTGCTCCCTGAAACCTCTCTGAAGGGGCCAGGTTCTGGCACTGGTCCCTGGTCAGTCCATAGCTAATGTCCCAGTCTAATATAAAGTACATTAGAGTGATAAGCTCCATGGAGCTGTAGGGGCTCACCCAGAAAATGGCGTTTCATTACATTCAATGCTGTTTTTTTTGCTGAATATTGTTAGTAACTGTCACAATAGCAAGACTAAACACATGTCTGCTTGCTTGATTTCACTATAAACATATTATAACTGTTTACCATGGTTATGTCAACAAGGTAACAAGGTGAAAAAACATTTTCTTGGCCCATTTCACTGTTTTGTGAACACACTCGACAGCGTCAACCCTCATTTCACATTATTAACCAAGTGCATATTTATGTTGTAGTCCATGACACCATCTGGTTTATACACTGCTTCTTTTGTTGCTCTGTTGACCTTGCCACTGTTTACCATCCTACCGGTGTGAATGGCTGCCATCATATTCTGACAAAGAAGATGGGATTCATATTCTGGGAAGATGGGACACCATGAGCATAGCTCTCATCCTGTAACTACACATAGGTAATTACCTCACGTCTGTCTTTCCATTGCACTGCAAGCATGTACACTTTTTATCTGGCACTCGACTACTGCAATATCTTCTTCATACACAGGCATTTCCCTCCTTCATGGATTTACTGTGTCACACATTCCAGTTTTATGTTTAAGTAAGAACCTCATTAGTAAGGTATAATAATTGTTTGTACTGTGTATAAAATGTGGCCCCTTGTAAAACAGTAGTGCCATCAGCATCTTCACCACACTTCCTGAGAAACCGTGAGGATCATTATTTGGAATGTCTACGTCACACCCAGAGTACAAAATCATGTCAATGACCATTACTGTTTTACAATAATAAAGAACAAAGAATTTGAATCCAAATGTGCGGTGTCTGGATGGGATGCTTGCTTGAAGGCAAGACGTCCTTTGAAAAGCACAAGGGATTCCTCAACCACTAGCTTCTGTCTTGGTGTGTAGTAATCTTTGTATTTCCCATTCAACTCACTTAGGACATGCTCACCCTTCACAAGTCTATCATTTGGGTTGTGGTTTTCACTATCTTCAAAATGAATGGACCTGATAATTAGAAGAAACTTGTCACATGATGTGTATTTTCCAAAAACAGGCAACGAGACAACCGAGTCTTTTTCCAAAAGTCCTGGATGAAATGTTTCAAGTGGCAAAAAATGCAAACAGTTCTGGTACAGCGATATCTTTCCAATGCTGCATTCATGAATATAATGATAAGCCCTTGACCTTTCCAATGAGCTTGGCAGCATATCTATTCACCCATTTCACTTATGTCCACACCAGTATATGGGAAAAATGTCAGTATCCCCCAACATCAGTAGTGCCAAATGTTGGAATTTGTGGAACAAAATCCACACCATCTCCGAACACGAGTACACTTGTTCTGACAGCGGCACCACCAACACTACAGATATATATCCTAGCACCAACAATACTACGTTCGCTAGGAGATGAAGCCCTTCTATTATGCATCGTGCAGAGGACGAACATTAGAAGATAAGGGCAGTATTCCTTAAATTTTCCCCACGTGAAATCCCACCTACTACTTGGTGGGGCGAGCAACTGACACTGCAGACCCACACTTGGTAACATCATAATACACTACTCTCACTTGCCACAGGAATGCTAAATCCACTCTCTGAATTCAAGTACCTAATTCTGGAAAATTAGTAATCTTCAACATATTCACAGCCTTCAGGAACATCATATGGTACAAGAAATTGTTCACGACTTTTGTTAGGCCAAAGCTAGAATATGCAGCAGTTGTGTGGTGCCCATATCTTAAGAGGCACATCAACAAACTGGAAAAGGTGCAAAGATATGCTACTAAGTGGCTCGCAGAACTGAAGGACAAGAGCTACGAGGAGAGGTTAGAGGCATTAAATATGACAAAACTAGAAGACAGAAGAAAAAGAGGTGATATGATTACTAGGTACAAAATAGTAACAGGAATTAATAAAATTGATAGGGAAGATTTTCTGAGACCTGGAACTTCAAGAACAAAAGGTCACAGATTTAAACTGGATGCCGGCTGGAATATTAACAAAGCTGTAATAAACAAAGATGCCGAAGAAATATAAGAAAATTCACTTTTGCAAACAGAGTGGTAGACGGTTGGAACAAGTTAAGTGAGAAGGTGGTGGAGGCCAAAATTATCAGTAGTTTCAAAGCGTTATATGACAGAGAGTGCTGGGTAGACGGGACACCATGAGCGTAGCTCTCATCTTGTAACTACACTTAGGTAATTACACTTAGGTAATTACTCACACGGCTGGTCATGCTGTGACTGTAGTAAGGGTGTGGCAGCTGTGGTGGGGTACACCTCGCCCTGGGAACGCTAACACATGTGTTTATATCGCTGTCCATGTCACTTTTACTTGACCCCTGAGCATAATCCTTATCAATCTCAGAATCATTAGGTATGCTTTCATTGTCACTGTCCATAAATTTGTTTCTGAATTTTATCATCAGTGTGTGATTGTGTTGAGCAAGCAACAATGTAGCATTGTGAGCAAGACGACGATGAGCCAGCCATAGTTGCTAGATACAAACTGAGGCCTTCCCATCAAGAATGGCCTACTTAGGATTTTTGTCTAAGATGGCCGCTGTTTACTATCGTCCCTGGGCAGCGTGTGGGTGCCCTGTTTTCTACGCAAGATGTTTAAATTTTTCACTATATCTAAATAGGACCCCAGCTATGGTTAAAGTTGTGGATGGAGATGGTTTCCACAACTTTCTTTTAGAGCATTCTACTTGTTAATTTCCTATACATCAGTGGGGCATCAAGTGACCAAACACAGGTAACCGGACATAAGCGACCCGACACCAATGACCGAGCATCAGGAACCAAATACCAATGACCATACATCAGCAACTAGACATCAGTGACCTGACATCAGCAACCAAACACTGGTGATTAGACATCAGTGACTAAACAGCAGTGAATAGTCACTGCTGGTGACTAATGATGTCCTGGTGACTGGACAACAACAACCTAGCACCAGTAACCAGACATGTTACATCCTCTCCATCAAGCCCCTTACTACCTGCCTCTGAAGGTTTCTCCAGCTGCAAAGAATCTGGCATGGTACCAAAGAGTTCAACAAATCAAGGTTGCATTGTATTATATACACACTACCAAATTTTATAAGATTAATTATTTTTTTTAAATATAGTAAATAAAATACAGTAATATAAAACAAAATCAGTATGGGTCTCTGGAAACTAGCAAAGTCACAAACTGAAATACAGGAAAAGTTCCCCCTATTGCCATCTGTTTCACACACATTTTAATTTTCATATAAAGAATAAACTTAATTTGCATTTTCAGGCTTCTCTTTGGGCAATAATTCCAATGCATCCTTAGAGTGTTTACAAAGTCTGATTCATTGATAATTGAAGTTTAGGTAATTTATCTACTGCATGAAATTGCCAGATTACAGAGACTCCATAGTTATTATTACAGTGTATTAAAATAGTATTTTGATAGTATATTTCCTACTATTGTTATATTGCTATATTAGTGTACTAAGATATTCAGAACTCACTGTAAGAATGATAACATAGTAGTCAGACTCTGAGGGGTGAGTTGAAGACGCTGGCGAGGACTGGGTTGCCTTGGTGAGATTTCCAGAACGTATGATGGGAATAAACTGGATGAGTGAATCACATGGGAGTACCATTGGATAAATCTCCGATGTTATCAGCTTAGTAAAGCCTGTAAAAAAGCACCCATCATTTGAATATAATGAAACATCTCTTTATGGTAGAGCCCCATGGCTCCCTTAGTTATCTCAATGAGGATGTTCCAATCTACTAGTTACATCAGTTGCACGAGTTCATATGACCTACAATTGACCAGATCCAAAACCTGTTTCCCTTGCATGAGACACAAGGAGCAAATGACATTTCATCATTTCACTGGGAAAGCATCCAGAAAGTCAGTGAAGTAACTGCTGGATTCACAAGCCTCATAAACCACTAAGCTGTCAAATAACTGCCCAAACAATATAAAAAAAAAAACTAGCTATAACTCAAAAGTATTGAATGACACCACTCAACCCGTTCTCGCTCTTTCGTATAGTCAATATTGACTATAGCGGTGCAGCGATGTGACATCATGATCGTTTGCTCGTTACGTTTAGGGGAGTTCTATCCATTTGTTCAGCTTTTGGTAGCAATAATTTTGCCAGAATAGGGGGGTTTGTTTTGGGATGCTTACCTTTCTGGGTGCCTGACCCAGTCGATGGTGGACATAGAATGCTTCCAACCACACGGGGGTTTCTATAGGCCATTGCTCCCCTTGCCTCTTCTGAGGTGGCCAGGTTTCTGGCTCGTGGTCCCCGGTAGGCCCATAGAATTCCACACATGATTGATGCCAAAGTCTGACATTAGCATATCAGCCTAGAAAGCCAAAGGGATCCAAAGGGAGCCAAAGGGGCTCCCCCCAGAAAAAGAGCCAAACTCAAAAGAAGGATCCATTATTGAGGTGTAATCCAGGTCTTACAGGAGGGAAGCCGCAAGGGCCTCCCACACCTTCCTCGGTGGGATGCGGGAAGCCAGAAACCTCCCGGAGGGAGGGAGGGAAACGAGGAACCCAAGGAAACCCAGAACCATACAGGGAGGGAGGGAACCGAGGAACCCAAGGAAACCCAGAACCATACAGGGAGTTGGGATAGGAAAATCCCTCCCCCTGTAACAACAAGCCCCACACCGAGGGTACCAATACCCAAGCGGTGTCAAATGGGGCCCAAGCCCCCAAGTCAACTCCGCCCAAGCCCCAGGATCCTCCATGCCAGGACTTGGTGCCGAGCCATCCTCCAAACCCTCTGCCCCTGGAGAAAAGGCAAAGTCCACTGGAAAAGCAGGGAAGAAAATCACGAAAAGCTGGCATGACCCGAAACCCCCGACAGGAGGAACCCGCTCGAATGCCTCTGCCGCCGATATGGAAGGGGCAGTCCCTGAAGTCGCCCGAGTCTCACCGCCAAGAAAACACTTCCCTGACTCTGAAACCCTCAGATGTTTGGGAGCTGGAAGGGAGCAGGATGAACCACAGCAGGGGAAGGACGAGGGCGCAGACGAAACCAAAGTCGAAGCGACTAACACCCCCAAGTTCGGGCCCTTATAACCAAATCAGAAAATCCGCGGGACATCCGGAAATATACGGAAACAACCTTTACCGATGTCCTCAAGGAGGACATCAGTAAAACCCAAGTGGATTGAGTGAAAACTCAAGTGGAACCTCAGTTGACGACTACCCTAGAAGACAAATTTTTGGGAACACGACGTCAAATTCGTTGTAAAATTTGAATTGGAAGATGACATCTGTTCGTATGCGTATGGGTCGAATGAGCGAGTGGTACTGGGGGCACGGGGTGAGGCGCTCTCAGTTTGTTTACAAGTCTATTCCGACGACCAATCTTGAATTCTTTGTAAAGAATTTCCTTGTTTTTCTGCTTTTTTTTTCTGAACAGTAAAGTTCTTATTATATATCATGCTATGGGTACCAAGATGGATGGTGAGGTGACTGGAGGGATGGATGGTGAGGGGACTGGGTGGATGGATGGTGGGGGGGACTGGATGGATGGATGAATGGTGGTTGATACCTGGTTGATGGGGTTCTGGGAGTTCTTCTACTCCCCAAGCCCGGCCCGAGGCCAGGCTCGACTTGTGAGTTTGGTCCACCAGGCTGTTGCTTGGAGCGGCCCGCAGGACCACGTACCCACCACAGCCCGGCTGATCCGGAACTTCTCTTAGAAAACCGTCCAGTTTTCTCTTGAAGATGTCCACGGTTGTTCCGGCAATATTTCTTATAGTCGCTGAGAGGACGTTGAACAACCGTGGACCTCTGATGTTTATACAGTGCTCTCTGATTGTGCCTGTGGCACCTCTGCTCTTCACTGGTTCAATCTTGCATTTTCTTCCATATCGTTCACTCCAGTACGTTGTTATTTTACTGTGTAGATTTGGGACCTGACCCTCCAGTATTTTCCATGTGTATATTATTTGGTATCTCTCTCTCGTCTCCTTTCTAGAGAGTACATTTGGAGAGCTTTGAGACGATCCCAATAATTTAGGTGTTTTATCTCGTCTATGCGTGCCGTATATGTTCTCTGTATTCCCTCTATTTCAGCAATCTCTCCTGCTCTGAAGGGGGAAGTGAGTAAATGGGGGGACTGGATGGATGGATGGATGGATGGTGGGGGGGCGACAGGATGGATGGTGGGGAGCTGGATGGATGGATGGATGGTGGGGTGAACCCTCCGTCCCCCACACTGCACCCTCCCTGCCAACCCCCATCCCGGCACTGGACCCTCCCCGCCTCCCCAATACTGCCACCAGACCCTCCCTGCTACCTCTAGCCCCAACACTGCCCCCCTCACCCCAGCTGTACCAGCCACATCTGGACGGTATTAATATGGGCTTCCTTGCTACCAACTGGTGGATCACGAGGCAGACTGCATGACATTAAACTTGTTGTTTACTGACTGTGAAAGCCTAATTGACTGTAAATGGCTGAATGACTAAATGCCTAATTGGTTGCTACCACAACTGTGAATGCTTGACTGCCTTGGTTATGACTGCCTATGACTGGTCTTGACTGTGAATGCTTGACTGACTTGTGACTGGTTCTGACTGGCTGCCACATAACACAGGCAGTGAAATGTGTGAAAAGAAGATCTGAAACCAGTGATGCTGATATGAATGTGCTTAAGGCGAGCAGAGGATGGTCTCACCTCCTCAACCTCCCCATACACCAACATCACTCCTCCCTTCCTCCCTCCTCACCGTCTCCCATACGCCAACATTTAACTGCACTTTACCTTTACCCAGTAAAGGTAAAGTGCAGTTAAATGTTCACTTATTTTATTTATGGTTTATATTTATGTTTATATTTATAACTGATTGTTTTGTGTATGAAAAATATGAGTAGTTTTCTGCATAAAATGTATTTTTAAGTTAATATTTTTGGGGGTGTGGAACAGATTAATTCAACTTACATTATTTCTTATGTGAAAATTTGTTTTGGTTGACGAATTTTTGGACGACGATGTGTCTCTGCGAACAGATTACGATCGTGAACAAAGGTATCACTGAATAAGCTTTTGTATTATTAGTTTCTGAATGATCCTCTCTTGTATTTAAAGTATCCACCTGTTCTTGTGATGATGCTCTGGACAGTTTATATTATTATTTAAATTTGTCTACCGCCAATGTTTACCTATGTTACAGTTCAAAGGATATTGCTTACATTACTGAACTTATGTTTTGCACAAATGTTTTCCAGACAACCATCCAAGCCCTTCCTACTTTCTTCTACAATGAAATAATCTGAATAAAGAACAAATACCAAAGGAATGCTTCCACTGATCTATGGGAAAGGGGAAGAGGGACAACAAATACTTTAAAGCATGTTGAAAAAGAGAAGGGAACATCACGCCAGGTTCCTTACCAAGCATGAAACAGTCACGCTGATTCCTGCTTGTCCTCACCCCTTCAACAATTCCCAACTGATTGAGGCCGATGTATATTTTACCTCCAAGGCCAGTGTTCAGCATCCCCAGAATAATCTGCAACATAAATGACAGATGAGCTGAATGAGAGGAGAGGGTCTAATCAATAACAAACTGATTAACATCACAATACACTCAATATTATATGAATACAACAAAATTTATTTAAGTAAAATCCAATACCATTATTATGATCAATATCACTGTTGCTATGTTACATAGATTTGATATGCAAAATACTGTACCTGTGTACAATGTCTTGCATAACTTTACAAACAAAATTTATTAATTTCTTTATACAGTATATGTATTCACCTAGTTGTATTCACCAAGTTGTGCTTGCAGGGGTTGAGCTCTGCTCTTTCAGCCCGCCTCTCAACTGTCAATCAACTGTTACTAACTAATAATTTGTTTTTTGTTTTTTCTACACACACACACACACACACACACACACCAGCATACATACCAGCGATACAAAGATGCGAGAAACAACTACACGGCAGTGAGGAGAGAGGCAGAAAGAAATTTTGAAAAAGGGATTGCGGACAAATGTAAAACAGAACCAGGTCTATTCTATAAATTCATAAACAACAAATTGCAGGTAAAGGATAATATTCAGAGGTTGAAAATGGGAAATAGATTCACGGAAGATGAAAAGGAAATGTGTGAAACACTAAACGAAAAGTTCCAAAGTGTGTTTGTACAAAATGAAATCTTTAGGGAACCAGATACAATAAGAATTCCAGAGAACAACATAGAACACATAGAGGTGTCTAGAGACGAAGTGGAAAAAATGCTCAAGGAGCTCGGTAAGAACAAAGCAGCTGGCCCAGATGGCGTTTCACCATGGGTTCTGAGAGAATGTGCATCTGAGCTCAGCATTCCACTTCACCTGATCTTTCAGGCATCCCTGTGTACAGGAATCGTAGCAGACGGGTGGAAACAGGCTAACATAGTTCCAATCTACAAAAGTGGCAGCAGGGAAGACCCCCTCAATTATAGACCTGTATCATTGACAAGTGTAATAGTGAAAGTATTGGAAAAACTAATCAAAACTAAATGGGTAGAACACCTAGAGAGAAATGATATAATATCAGACAGACAGTATGGTTTTCGATCTGGAAGATCCTGTGTATCGAATTTACTCAGTTTCTATGATCGAGCCACAGAGATATTACAAGAAAGAGATGGTTGGGTTGACTGCATCTATCTGGACCTAAAAAAGGCTTTCGACAGAGTTCCACATAAGAGGTTGTTCTGGAAACTGGAAAATATTGGAGGGGTGACAGGTAAGCTTCTATCATGGATGAAAAATTTTCTGACTGATAGAAAAATGAGGGCAGTAATCAGAGGCAATGTATCAGAATGGAGAAATGTCACAAGTGGAGTACCACAGGGTTCAGTTCTTGCACCAGTGATGTTTATTGTGTACATAAATGATCTACCAGTTGGTATACAGAATTATATGAACATGTTTGCTGATGATGCTAAGATAATAGGAAGGATAAGAAATTTAGATGACTGTCATGCCCTTCAAAAAGACCTGGACAAAATAAGTATATGGAGCACCACTTGGCAAATGGAATTTAATGTTAATAAATGTCATGTTATGGAATGTGGAATAGGAGAACATAGACCCCACACAACCTATATATTATGTGAGAAATCTTTAAAGAATTCTGATAAAGAAAGAGATCTAGGAGTGGTTCTAGATAGAAAACTATCACCTGAGGACCACATAAAGAATATTGTGCAAGGAGCCTATGCTATGCTTTCTAACTTCAGAATTGCATTTAAATACATGGATGGCGATATACTAAAGAAATTGTTCATGACTTTTGTTAGGCCAAAGCTAGAATATGCAGCTGTTGTGTGGTGCCCATATCTTAAGAAGCACATCAACAAACTGGAAAAGGTGCAAAGACATGCTACTAAGTGGCTCCCAGAAATGAAGGGCAAGAGCTACGAGGAGAGGTTAGAAGCATTAAATATGCCAAAACTAGAAGACAGAAGAAAAAGAGGTGATATGATCACTACATACAAAATAGTAACAGGAATTGACAAAATCGACAGGGAAGACTTCCTGAGACCTGGAACTTCAAGAACAAGAGGTCATAGATTTAAACTAGCTAAACACAGATGCCGAAGAAATATAAGAAAATTCACCTTCGCAAATAGAGTGGTAGACGGTTGGAACAAGTTAGGTGAGAAGGTGGTGGAGGCCAAGACTGTCAGTAGTTTCAAAGCGTTATATGACAAAGAGTGCTGGGAAGACGGGACACCACGAGCGTAGCTCTCATCCTGTAACTACACTTAGGTAATTACACACATCAACAAACTGGAAAAGGTGCAAAGACATGCTACGAAGTGGCTCCCAGAACTGAAGGGCAAGAGCTACGAGGAGAGGTTGGAAGCATTAAACATGCCAAAACTAGAAGACAGAAGAAAAAGAGGCGATATGATCACTATGTACAAAATAGTAACAGGAATTGATAAAATCGACAGGGAAGGATTCCCGAGACCTGGCACTTCAAGAACAAGAGGTCATAGATTTAAACTAGCTAAACACAGATGCCGAAGAAATATAAGAAAATTCACCTTCGCAAATAGAGTGGTAGACGGTTGGAACAAGTTAAGTGAGAAGGTGGTGGAGGCCAAGACCGTCAGTAGTTTCAAAGCGTTATATGACAAAGAGTGCTGGGAAGACGGGACACCACGAGCGTAGCTCTCATCCTGTAACTACACTTAGGTAATTACACTTAGGTAATTACACACACACACTAAAATGTGTGTGTGAAATATACGATAAAGGCACAAAAAATTTATACCAAAGCAGAGATGCAGAACTAGGAAACAGGATTGGTTCGACAGAGATTGCGAGAGAGTCAGAGACCAAAAGACACAAAAAAACCAGCGTTGAATGTAATGAAACGCCATTTTCTGGGTGAGTCCCGGAGGCTCCCCGGAGCTATCCCAGGCTGATATGCTAATGTCAGACTTTGGCACCAGTCATGTGTATGGAGTTCTTAGGCCTACCGGGGACCACGGCCAGAACCGGGCCCCCTCAGAGAGGCAAGGGGAGCAATGGCCTATAGAAGCCCCCGTGTAGTTGGAAACTTTCTATGTCTGCCATCGACCGGAACAGGCACCCAGAAAGGTAAGCGCCCCAAAACAAACCCCTATTCTGGTTAAAATTGCTACCCAAAACCGAAGTAGTGGATAGAACTCCCCAACCGAAAACAAGCAAACTAGTGTGACGTCACACACCGCCGCGCCGCTGTCTGCGCAGCTCCCCCCTCCCCGGGAGGGGGAAGAGGGAGCGCCAGACCCCCCGCGCCGGCTACCCACGCCTCAGTTCTTGAGGCTGGATGTCAAAAACGCGAAAAAATGCCGACCGGAGGGAGGGAGGGATGCCGGGGAGCCTCCGGGACTCGCCCAGAAAATGGCGTTTCATTACATTCAACGCTGGTTTTCTGGGGGGAGCCCCGTCGGCTCCCCAGAGCTAACTACCCACAGACAGAAAAAAGAGGGACTTACCCGGGAGGCGGTCGTCGCTCACCCCTCAACTCGAAGCCGAGACAACTGGCTGCAACCGCCGACCCAAAGCAACACAGGCCCGACGAGGCCCAGGGACATTCACAAGGTAACGAGCAGCCCGGACCCTGTTCGACCGCCAAAATCCCCGCGCCCGAATATCAGACCAAGACATTCCCAAAGACGGCAGCAAGAGCCGCGAACTTACGAACGTCATGGGCACGGGGATAGACCGCAGGCTGGCTGGACCTAATAACCCTGCGGACGACCTGAGAGACCCGAACCCGCGAACAGGGAAGAAGGGAAACCGGATCAACCCACAGCGCGTCCCCGGACACAGAAGCTGTGGCGCACAAATAACGGCGAAGCGCCGCAACTGGACACAAAACATGATGCACCCCTAGCCTGACCAACCAAGCATCAACCACCCATGGACCCCTCCGGAACGCAGCAGTCTCATTCTTCGCCAGAAAAGAAGGAGACGGCTGCAAACGAAAAAACAATCACCACGACCAAAAGAGCAGAAACCCCTGCGCCGGAGGAGAGCATGAAGCTCCCCTACCCGACCCCCAGAGGCCAAAGCCAACAAGAAAAGTGCCTTGGAAAAACAATCCTGGACCGAAGGGGCCACAACGAAATGAGGAGATGAAAGGAAAGCGAGCACTCTGTCCAAAGACCAGGACGGCTCAAGCGACGCATGAGCAGGCCGTAGGTGAAACAATGCATGAGACAGCTTGCGAAACGGCGCAGACGTAACATCGATACCGAAAGCAAGCTGAAGCGGCTCCGCCAGCGCCGCACGATACGAAGCGACAGTGTTAGGCATAAGATGACAGTCCTGAAACAACCACGAGAGGTAGGACAAGACCACCCGAACAGACAAGGAGCTAACACGACGAAGACGCAAAAAGAAACGGAAGGACCGCCAGGAAACTTCATACTGCCGCCGAGAAGAAGCCCTCAGGTGGGACACCAACAAGGAGGCCACCTGATCACCATAGAGATGATGATAGACTCAAGTCAAAAAAACCATACACGAAGACTCAAGGAGAAGATCGAACCAGCCACGTGACGTACCGGCCCGATCTGCTGAAAGAGGCGGAGCCGCGGGAAAACCCTCGGGTTCAGACACCGAGCAACCAGCGCCTGAAACCAAGGCTGGGCCGGCCACCAAGGGGCCAGAAGGACAACTCTCCCCTGGTAAGTCTCTAAGCGAGTCAGGACCTGGAGCAACAACCGAACCGGGGGAAAGAGGTACAGGAACCCCCACCTCGACCAGTCTAGCTGAAAGGCATCGACCCCGACGGCCTCGCGATCGGGGAAGGGCGCTGCATAAACGGGAAGACGCCGCGACCACGCCAACGCGAAGAGGTCCACTTTGGGGCGCCCGAACATCTGGCAAAGCCAACGGAAGGACTCGTCGTCGACCGTCCACTCCGTGGAGAGGGGAACGAAGCGAGACAGGGCGTCGGCCAAGACGCTGGACACGCCCCGTACGTGAACCGCCAGGAGAGCCAAACCCC